GTAACAGACGGTGGACGGAAGTTAGAGGTAAGGGCTATTTTCTTCCATTCTTATAGGTTAGGGGCTAAAACCGTTATATTATAAGGTGAGGGGCTAAAACCATCCAACTTATCAAGGTAAGGGGCTATTTTTAGGCTTTTGCCAAAGTTTATATAGAATTAATTAAAAATATTACATTTAACGAAGTTAAACCTATACCCTGTGCCCTAATAGTACTGGTTAAAAAATTTTGATGTTATATAATACTCCACTTGTTTCAAAATAATTAACATTTATAAAAGCAATTATTTTATTATTTTATTCCTCAAAAATCTTCTAGTTGCCTCGCATGTGCAGAATCTGAATGCAAACGTGTCACTTACTTTACTGAAAACAAGAAAAAAGGATTTGCCCAACGACTTTCTCCTTCCTCACAATTGACTTCCCTGCGAATGATGAGAAGAACATTGGTTTAAAACTAAAATCTGTGCCTATAGACAATTTGTAAGAAGGAGAGATACCTTCCTACAAATGTGTTACTAAATTTGCCTTGGATAACTCCAAGAACTTAAACACTACTATGAATCAAAGTTAACAAATTCTAAACGAGCTAAATAGCATGCAAATTAAAGTCAATTCACAAATAAAAAATGCATCTAAATTAAATTAAACATGTTCATTGTCAGATTAAATTATTATCTACAAACAAATCTAGAAATTAAACTACTGTAGAATTGGAGATTTAATGCTAATTAACACTAAAACAAATACAAATAAGGACTAAATTAACATGCTTGAAATTGAAAAGAAGCATGAACGTCATATAAATAAAATACTACTTATCATAAACATTAAATTAACACCAATCAGAAAAGGAATAGTACCTTCCAAAAATCCAAAGATTGATGTTCATTACATGAAACAAAATTGCTGAAACAAGTACTCGAATTAATTTAACTACTAGAATGACGAAAAACAACCTAAATTTACTAGGAATTATGCTGAAATATGAAATCTGTAAGCTAAAGTGAGCCATTGCAGAGAAATTGAAAATCTGAAAATTTGTTAGGTTGTGTGTAGGGGCTGATCATGTGTTGAATAGTAAAAAGTTTCTCTTTCGTTCTTCTTCTTCAGCTGCAAACCTCCAACTTTCTATAGTTACACAAATTGTGGATAGTTTTTTAAAGAAGTGGAACACCTCAGTGGTTGACAAAGTCAAATTTCCTCCCAAATTTCATCACTTGTCCCATTATTTGATAACTCACATCCATAACTGAAACTACCATCTAAATTTTAGATAAAATAGACCTAATTTGACTAAAAAAGATAATTAAGATAAAATCTTATATTTTTACCTCTTTTTCCCTATATTACAGTTGATCTATCATGAGATCTAGAATTACATATCTAAAAAAGCTAAATTATCTCTATTCATTTAAAATTTTTAGACACATGACATGATCATAAATTTTTACAATTGATGGCATAAATAGTAGTAGTAAATTAAAAGACAAAATTCAACATTGACTTGTGAGCTTGAGGCTACCTGTTGCACCAAAACCATTCGGTAGCAATGTTTTGAAAACCAACTCAAAAGTCAAATCGTTTTGACTTTTGGTTCTCAATTTAACTGGTTTAATCGGTTAAATCGTTCAAACCACCAGTTTAATTACATATAAATAAATATAATATGATGTAATGATCTAAGGTGTAGCGGCTCGAGTAGTTTGTCACTTCGTCCATCATGGAGGAAACGCGTGTTCAAGTTTGGTGGGTATCAAAATGTTATTATCATATTTCTAAACCTTCTAACTAAAATGTAAAATACATGTAATTTTTTAATTAATTTATATAAAAAATTATAAAGGATGAGTTTAAATTAATTACAATTTAATTACATATGAATAAATATAATGTAATGATCTAACATGACAGGTGTAGTGGCTCGATTGGTTTGTTACTTTCTCCATCGTGGAGGAAACACGTGTTCGAGTATGGTGGG